CAGTGTGTGTTGCGTACCAGGCGCTGGCGCAGACCTCGTCCGGTGTCTCACAGATGGAGTTTATGCCGCAGGCGGACTCACACACACCGCTGGCGTTACACACCGAAGACTCAACATCACAAAACTTACAGTTCTGTTTGAGTCTGAAGCCGCTGCTGGAGTTTGTCTTCGACACTGTACACACACACACACACACATTCATGCTGTCATTCTAGCAATATCTGCAATATGTAGGAAAACTGACATTCTGAGCATATAAGAGTAATCGCTGAACACATAAACACAAAAACAAATTAGCAACACACACACACACACACACACACTCTCTCTCACACACACACCTCTCTATACTCACATTTCTCCTCCTCAGTGAGTTTGCGCAGCAGCAAGTTCTGGTTGCACTGGTCTCCTGTGCAGCTACACACACGCAGGTGTCTTCCGTGAATGTTTTGTTCCTGCAACACACACTCCGAGATGAGAATATCCTCCACCATCACACCGAGCATCGGCTTTAGTGGGTCATGACAGAGAGTCTCCACCATCACCAGTCCAGCATCTCTCCACCTTCAACACACACACACACACACACACACACACACACACACGCAAAGTCAGCAGCTGAACACACTCCGCTTGTGTCCTGCAGTATCCCAAGATGCATTTTAAACATGTGCTGAATAAGTTGGCGGTTCATTCCGCTGTGGCAACCCCAAATTAATAAAGGGACTAAGCTGAAAAGAAAATGAATGAATGAATGAATATGCAGATTAAGCACGCTGCTTTAATAACATAGTCAGCGTTAGTTTATTTTGAGCTGTTCTTCCTGAATCACAAAGAAAGTGAAACAAGCACATGCTGCCGTTTCTCTTTTCCTGTAATAACAGTCACAAACAAAACTACAACACCCATAATGCAACAGTGCTCGCATGTGTTTGAAATCCATCTGTGTTCTGGTATACTGGTAAACCTAATAAACCTAAGCTTCATTCACTATTCCCTACGTTAGTCCACTAGTACACATGAAGGAGTGAATAAAATGAGTGAGTTAATTTGAGCACTACTAAGGGCACTGAGGGGATGCCTTTGCGTAATTCTGACTTTTTGGTCCGACTCTTAAATGTATATAGTGTATACGTACATAAGTGCATAAGTGCATAACTATGTAGTGCATAAGTGCATAACTATGTAGTGCATAAGTGCATAACTATGTAGTGCATAAGTGCATAACTATGTAGTGCATAAGTGCATAACTATATAGTGCATAAGTGCATAACTATGTAGTGCATAGTGTATAAGTGCATAACTATGTAGTGCATAGTGTATAAGTGCATAACTATGTAGTGCATAAGTGCATAGTGTATAAGTGCATAACTATTTAGTGCATAAGTGCATAGTGTATAAGTGCATAGCTAGGTAGTCCATAAGTGCATAGTGCATAAGTGCATAACTATGTAGTGCATAGTGTATAAGTGCATAACTATGTAGTGCATAAGTGCATAGTGTATAAGTGCATAGCTAGGTAGTCCATAAGTGCATAGTGCATAAGTGCATAACTATGTAGTGCATAGTGTATAAGTGCATAACTATGTAGTGCATAAGTGCATAGTGTATAAGTGCATAACTATGTAGTGCATAATGTATAAGTGCATAACTATGTAGTGCATAAGTGCATAGTGTATAAGTGCATAACTATGTAGTGCATAGTGTATAAGTGCATAACTATGTAGTGCATAAGTGCATAGTGTATAAGTGCATAACTATGTAGTGCATAGTGTATAAGTACATAACTATTTAGTGCATAAGTGCATAGTGTATAAGTGCATAGCTAGGTAGTCCATAAGTGCATAGTGCATAAGTGCATAACTATGTAGTGCATAGTGTATAAGTGCATAACTATGTAGTGCATAAGTGCATAGTGTATAAGTGCATAACTATGTAGTGCATAGTGTATAAGTGCATAACTATGTAGTGCATAAGTGCATAGTGTATAAGTGCATAACTATGCAGTGCATAAGTGTATAAGTGCATAACTATGTAGTGCATAAGTGCATAGTGTATAAGTGCATAGCTATGTAGTGCAGAAGTGCATGGTGTATATTGTATGATGTAAAGTGTATTATATAGTGTATAAGTGCATAGTCTGTGTGTACATACATAGTGCACAAGTGCAGAGCGTATAAAACAAACATAAACAAACATAGTGTATAAGTGCATAGTGTGTTATTTGGAACACAGCTTAGGTATTGTACTGTATATGTGCGGATGAGCGAGTTCAGACATGTGTGTGTGTGACTGGAGTGTTGCTCATACCAGACGGCGGCACAGACGTCCTGCTCATTCACACACTCTGTAGACACACTGCAGTTGGAGAAGCACTGATTTGACACACAGTTGACTGGATGAGGCTTACAGGAGCTGCAGATGCGGAGATCAGCAGTGCGGAGAAGAGCTGCAGAAACACCAGAGAACATCAGTTTATACGTTCACTCATCAACAACAACACACACACACACGCACACAGATGATCGATTAGTTATGTTATAATGATTATGTTATTATTGTTGTTATTAGTTATTACTATTACGTTACCAGAGAGCATCAGTTTGTATGTTCACTCACACATCAACACAAAGCCAGAGGTTTTAACCACAAGCAGATGTTTTAATTTGCAAAAACATTTCTACAACATGAAGCATGATGTCAGTGTCTCTACATTCAGCTCGACATGCCAGAAAATGAACACAAACACATGCAGCCGCAGAGACTGATGTGATCCCCAGATTACCACGATCAGATGAGACAACAGTCAGCATCCCATAAAAACACACACAAACACACACACACACATACATATACACACACACACACACACACACACACACACACACACACACAAGTGTTAAAAATAAGTGTTAAAAGTGTTTTAAGTGTTAAAAATATATGTTCACAAATACTAAACATTAATAAAACTGTGGCATATATATGACTCTATATATAAATATATATATATATATATATATATATATAAATATCTCTTTCTTATATATATATATATATATATATATATATATATATATATAACGTATAATAGCATTATAGAGAAAACATTACCCTTTTTTGATAAAATTTTAGATGATTTTAACAACCCCCAAAGTACCACAGTAAGTTATTATGACTTAGTTAAACTGTTTCCACATGAAAAAATAGCAACTTATAATAAACTCTACAGTCTTTTTGAACTATACTCTAGTAAAGTGTATTATACTGTATATATGAGTATATCCAGCACTATGTTAATGAATGCGACATCTTACTGTAATATTAACTTCAGTGAACTGATACAGTGAATAAATATTGTAGTTTTTACTACAGTAAACAGTGGTGTATTGTAGTTTAATACAGCTATAGTTGTAGAAAACTAGAATATTGATTAATTTGCTTATATTAGCCTACTATAGTTGTTGTATTAGCATGGCAACTCGATTATTTCAAGTTTAAAAGCACTATAAATGAGTAGTATATTTTTTAGTATGAGAAATAGGCTTTATTTAAACAATATCTCACAATAATATCAGTAACGTTCCACAGTTTTACTATAGAAACAATAACTTCAGCAAAAAATATCATCAATTAGTTTGTTTTTTTATACTTAAAGTTATCAGGTAGGCAATACTATAGCGAAATGTATGTTGTTGTATATATTATAGTATATACAACACTTTGCTAATGAATGCTCCAGCATACTGTAATTTTAAATATAGCAAACTCATAACCAACATGAATTATAATAAATACTGTAGTTAGGGTTAGCTATACTTTAGTTTTTACTACAGTAAACAGTGGTGTTTTGTAGTTTAATACAGCTATAGATGTAGAAAACTAGAATATTGATTAATTTGCTTATATTAGCCTACTATAGTTGTTGTATTAGCATGGCAACTCGATTATTTCAAGTTCAGAAGGACCATAAATTAGCCTATTGTATTTTTGTAATATGTGGAATGCTCTATTTTAACAATATCTCATAATAATATCATTATTATAATTAGTATAATTTTACTGTGGAAACATTAACTGTAGCACAAACAGAACATCAACATGTTTATTTTATATGTACAAAGTTAACAGTAGCGCTGTATTAAACTGTTAAGCTAAGAAACACACGTGGGAACTCGCGCACGAGGGGATGAGAATCACACCACTGCTGTCTGACAGTTACACACACTGATAAATAAACAAACTGATATTAATACTAGCCTAATAATAAACATGTTTCCACTCAAAGTTTTGACGCGTAGTTTTGAGCGCGCTCCCGCACACCGAGCGCGCGCTGTAGAAACGAGACAGAAGCGGAAACTCACCAGACATGAGAAACACGAGCAGAACCGAACCGGAGCCCAAGCCCGGCGGACCGAGCCGCTCCATCACCGATACCGACCGCGCCACTGTCCGCCGCCCGAGGCTCTGAAAGCGGCTGTGACAGCGGCTGATCTTCCTCTCAGCGGAGGACCAGGACTCACTGACAGGAAATGTTGAAGAGGAGGAGACGCGCTGTTCCTGATTCACTTTCTCAAACCCACAACACTCAAGTGTGTAGTTCCCTAACTAGACTGCAGCCTTGGTGAGCACACTACATCATGCTAATAAGTCTAGTGAGTTCAGACACACCCCAGGGCACAAAACACGCCAAAATCTTGACGTCTGTTTGACATCCACACATTGACGCCATTTTAATAACGACGCAAAAAGTTAGTAATGACATTTTCCCATCATTTTCTTAGCTTTTTTTCCCTCTTTCTTTTGTTTTTTCTTTCTCAAATCCGAAAAAAAAAAATTAATCCAATTGGTTGCTTACTCCTATATTGTCACACAATTGACAGTCAGTTTATGTTATATATTTGGTTATGTATATGTATGTATTGTCATATCCCGTTAGCTCAATTATTAAAAACACAAAAAATTGCGTGGCTATTTCAACCCAAGTAATTTAAACAAATCCTAATGTTGGGTTATAATTGAGCTATAAATTTAGAAATGCTTTTTTTTTTTTTTTACCATTTTTTCTCTCAAAATTGGGAGAAATAACCCATTTTAAATAACCCAGCATATTTTATTTCAATATAAAATAGACCCAACAGTGGGTTAATTTTGTCAATAAAATTAAAATGACACATTTAACTCAATGGTTGTGTTTGTCCATAATTCACAGACATTAAATCAACATTATTAAATGTTTTTATTTATTTATCTATAATTAAACTTAACACCTATTTAGTTTTAAAAAAATGTTTTTGTAAACAATTGTGTCAATAATATGGACAAACCCAACCGTTGGGTTAAAAAGTGTCATTCATTCATTTTCTTTTCAGCTTAGCGCCTTTATTAATCTGGGGTTCCCACAGCAGAATGAACTGCCAACTATTCCAGCATATGCTTTACTCAGCGTATGCCCTTCCAGCCTCAACCCATCACTGGGAAACACCCATACTCACTCATTCACCTATAGCGCATGTGAAGAAGGTCACTGGTTCGAGTCTCAGCTGGGTCAGTCGGTGTTTCTGTGTGGAGTTTGCATGTTCTCCCTGTGTTCACGTGTGCTTCCTTAGGGCGCTACGGTTTCCCCCACAGTCCAAACACATGTGGTACAGGTGAATTGGGTGACTAAATTGTCCGTAGTGTATGAGAGTAAGTGTGTGTGGATGTTGGAAGGGCATCCGCTGCTTAAAAACATGCTGGATAAGTTGGTGGTTCATTCCGCTGTGGCATCCCCGGATTAATAAAGGAACCAAGCTGAAAAGAAAATGAATGAATGAATGAATGAATGAATGAATGGTTTTAGTATATTAAACTAAACTTTGATTGGGAAATGTCATAAAAAATCAATTAAGTTGTTACACATTACTTTATGAACATGTTTTTATCAATAACAAACAATAAATAAATTAGACCCAAGTTAGTTTTGCTGTCATAAGGTTATGAAAACATATTTACTATACAGTGATTCTCAAAAAGCAAACCATCTATAAACAGTAATGCAAAATATGTCTTTTTAAAATTGTGTCGCATTTTGAATAGGCAATCTTGGGTTTGTTATTATTAGCCATCGGGGTAGTTTTGTTGTGAAAATCTGGCAACCCTGCCCTGTTTGCACTGAAAAACAAGCCCGAAATAAACCAAAATGCAGTTTTGGCCTTTGACAATGGTGTGTGTCATACAGATGCCGTTTATTCTGTCTGTCAGATCAGATTCTCTTCCTGGAAATCAGTGTGAAGCTTGCGAAACGTGTGTGTTTTTCCATCCAGCAGACGGTCAGTTCATCTAGACAGCCGGCTGCACTTTTACCAGCTTTACTGGAAGTGAAGCAGATCTCCAGAAAAACAAATGCACATAACTCTGCGTCTGTTTCACGTCTCTCACTGCTGAAACATCTGCATAACAGTGTCTACAGCCTGATTTAATACAGCTGTTTTACTGTATCAGCTCACACTGCACTCCTGGACACTTAATGTTATATAAATATCAAAACAACCATTAAATCTTTTCATTATTTATTTAATTAATTAATTAATTAATGAGGGCGACATGATGGTGCTCTGGTTTCCCCCACACGTCCAAAGACATACAGTACAGGTAAATTGGGTTGGCTAAATTGTCCGTAGTGTATGTGTGTGTGTGAGAATTAGAATGTATGGGTGTTTCCCAGAGATGGGTTGCAGCTAGAAGGGCATCCGCTGTGTAAAACATGTGCTGGATAAGTTGGTGGTTCATTCCGCTGTGGCGACCCCAGATTGATAAAGGGATTAAACTGAAAAAAAGAATGAATAATTAATTAATGATTGTGTGTTAATTAATATTTTCATGAATTTTTTTGTGTGTAATTGATGTTTAACTCACAATGCACTTTTGAGCATTTTAATGTAAATGTAAATATCAAAACAACCATTTTAATTATTATTTATTTATTTAATTAATTAATACAAAGATTTATTTAAATTAAATTAACACACTGAAATTAAATTTAATAAAAAATATCAAATTGACATAAAACTATTAAATTAAATCATAAATTAAATTAACATGTTTAAATAAAAATTATATTAACAGCTTAAAATAAATTAAAAATGTAATAAATTTACTTTGATAGAAAAATACATTTAAAATAAATTGAAATAAAAAAAATTCTTAATAATTGTGTGTTTGTGTGGTTTGCGTTTTAGTGACGATTAAATAAATCTGATCAGATCAGATTGTGTTAAATGTACAGTAATGAAACACACACTCTAATGCTCACACTCTTCTTCTTCTGTCTGTGGTGATTTATATCTCTCCATCTCCACTTCCTGTATTTTGGTGTCTGTCACCATGGAAACCAGACTCACAGTTATGGGATGTCTGAAATCAGAGTGATTTAAAAGCGTGTCAGATCATGTTCAGACGGCTGGCACACACACACACACACACACACACACACACACACGCATGCATGCACACATATACACACATATACACACACACACACACACACACACACACACACACACACACACAGAGGTGGTCGTGCTACCCACTGCACCATCGTGCGACACCATAAATAATAATAATAATAAATAAATAAATAAAATAAAAATAATAATAAATCAATAATAATCCTAATAATAATAGTAGTAATAAATAAATAAAATAAATATGTACATAAATAAATGATCATAGTAATACAATATAATAATATAAATAATAATCAATAATAATAATAAATAATCATAGTAATAATAATAATAATAGATAAGTACATATATAAAATAATAATTGTAATACAAAATAAATATTAATGCAAAATAATATTTGTGATAATATTACATAATAATAATATTAATAATACATCAATAATAATAAATGAATATGTACATAAATAAAATAAATGATCAAAGTAATACTAAATACATAAATAATAATAATCCATAACAATAAAGATAATAAATAATAATAATAAATAAAAGAAAAAATAAGTAAAATAAATAATCATAGTAATACTAAATAAAAAATAACAATAATACATAATAATAAATAAATAATAGTAATAATAATAATTAATAAATAATCATAACAATAATAATGATAAATACAATAAATAAATAATTATGTACATAAATAAAAAACAATCACAGTAATAATATATAAATCAATAATCATAATCATACATAATAATAATGTAATAATAATAATAGTGTGTGTTCGTGTGTCTGTGTCTGTGTGTGTGTGTGTGTGTGTGTGTGTGCACAAACTGTTTGCCTAATTCTTTATAAAGTGTGCAGTAATGCAGCTCTTCTCCCTCTAGTGGCTCTAGGAGGAACAACACACTCTGGGCACATTTAACACACACACTGACCTGAACAAACACAGTTGACCCACTCATGACCTCTGACCCCTGACACTTACTGTAACAGATATCAGTGTTTCCCTGTAGGCCGTCTGCAGTTTACTCATTAGTCTGGACAGCAATGACCTCTGACCTTTGGTGGTCTGTAACACACACACACACACACACACACTTTCTCTCTTTCTCGTCAGGCTGATACTGCATTATTCTAGCAGGGTTATTTTCAGCTGAAGCAGCAGTCGGTGTGTGTAGAACTGTAAAGTCAGTCCTCTATGAAGTGCAGGTTTCATTTGAACAGGTGTGAGCTTGTTAACACCTTTTATTTCAGTAATGCCAGTGTTTACAGTGCAGCAATAAACACAGCCAGCAGAACGCACAGTTCAGACTCAAATACAAGGTCAAATAACAAAGATACAGGGTATAATGTTTAAAAACGAGGAGGAGCATCCATCACTACCCACATGAAAAAACTACTATAGTCATTTACGGTAAATTCCACAGTGTTTTTAAACTATACTATAGTACGGTACATGAATCAATCTGTTGTGGTGATTCTACAGTTGCTATGGTAACACAACAACTATATTAATCAGTCTGTTGAGGTGATTTTATAGTTACTATGGTAACACAACATCTATAGTAATCTATCTGTTGTGGTGATTCTATAGTTACTATGGTAACACAACATCTATAGTAATTGATCTGTTGTGGTTATTCTATAGTTACTATAGTAACGCAAAATCTAAAGTAATCCATCTGTTGTGATGATTCTATAGTTACTATGGTAACACAACAACTATAATAATCGATCTGTTGAGGTGGTTCTATAGTTACTATGGTAACACAACAACTATAATAATCGATCTGTTGAGGTGGTTCTATAGTTACTATGGTAACACAACAACTATAGTAATCCATCTTGGGGTGATTCTATTGTTACTATGGTAACACAACACAACGAATATTTGGAAAAAATTACATTTTGCCTGGAGGGCAAATCTTTTTGTCTTCAACTATATGTATATATATATATATATATATATATATATATATATATATATATATATATATATATATATATATATATATATATATATATATATATATATATATATATATATATATATATATATATATATATATACATATATATATATATATATATA